CTGGGTGAGACGACGCGAGGGAAATGATGGACAGTCGTTCATGGAAGGATTGGAAGACTGGGGCAAAATGTGCCTTGGTGAAGAAGTCGGCGAGTTGGCTGGCGGTCGGGCACCACTTGAGTTCAAATTCGCCGCTGTCGATGAGATCTCGGACAATCATGAAGCGTACGTTGATGTCTTTGGAGCGGCCATGTAGTTCAGCGTTGGTTGCGAATTTAATGATAGATTGGTTGTCCTCGTGGATGAGGATTGGTTGGGCAGACGTTTGACCAAGTTCGCCACTAAGTTGGTGGAGATAGAGCAGCTCCTGAATGCAAAGGGTGAGGGTTACGAATTCGGCCTCGGTAGTGGAGAGAGTGATGAGAGACTGTTTCTTGGTAAGCCAAGAGATTGGGGATCCGAAAAGAAGGGTGAGAAAGCCGCTGACGCATCTGCGAGTGTCGATACACATGGCGTAGTTGGCGTCGACAGAGACAGAGAGAAAAGGGGAGGATATAGTTGCGAAGACGCCACCAAGAAGGATGCCGTGGGAGACTGAGCGGACGAGATATCGTTGGGCGCGGTTGACTGCGGTCCAATGATGACGTCCCGTGTTTTGGAGAAATTGGCTGAGTTGTTGCAGGTTGTAGGCAAGGTAGGGGCGAGTACCCATGGGGAGGTATATGAGACTGCCAACGAAAGAACAATAGTTGTGTGTGGCCATGAACACTTTCTCCTCGGGGGAAACAGCGCCTTGAGAAGTAGATAGATCGATTTCTGGGCGAGATGGAGTGGTGGCAGGGTTGGCGTCGGTCATGCCAAAACGTTTAAGGATTGTTTCAGTGTAACGAGTTTGATGCAGGAAGACGGAGAGTTCGGCGGGTTAACGGACGACTTCTCATCCAAGGATATCGGAGACGGGGCCGAGGTCTTTCATGGAGAATTGTGCAGACAGAGCAGATTTCGTGGTGTTGACGAAGTCGAGGGTCGGGGCGAAGGTGAGGAGATCGTAGACGTAGAGGCTGATGATAATGAACGACGTGGATGTGGTTTTGGTGAAGACACAGCGGTCTTTGTATAGACGGGTGAAGTGCTGAGACGCCATGAACTAGACGAAGGAGAGGTACCAGAGGTAGGGTGCTTGCTTCAGACCGTAGAGACTTCGTTTGAGAAGGCAGACGTAATCGCGGCGAGATGTTGGGTCTACGAGGTCACCGGGGGCTTGATGCATGTAAATGGGGCGAGCGATGGTACCGTTGATGAAAGACGTCGACATCCATTTGATGGCATTCGAAATCGTAGATGGCGATGAGGGTGAACAGGTAGCGTAAGACCTCGAGACGAACAACAGGGGCAAATATTTCATCGTAGTCAACGCCATGCTGTTGGAGGTAGCCTTTGACAACGAGACGGGTCTTGTAGGTGCCGTTGGTTTGACGCGGAAGACCCATTGGCAGGTGAGTGGGCGTGAAGGTGAGGAGCGTCGAGGAACGAGTTCGTAGGTTTTGTTGGCTTGGAGGGTTTTGAATTCGGCTTGTGCTGCTGCGAGCCGTTGATCGCGATCGGGGCGGCGCATCGATTCGTTCCAGGTCAAGGGATCACCAGTGGGAACTTTAGCGCGCGTAGGTGAAGGTGGGAGGAAAGACGGATGGGTTTAGTGGAGTGAGCGTACGAGACGGCGGCAGGTGGAAAGGTAACGTGGGAGGAATGGGGATCGGGTGGACGTCATAGTAGTCGGTGCAGCAGTCAGAAAAGAACGTTGAGAGTTCGAGTGCGAAACCCGCAGAGGGATAGTTGGGGGTGATGCGCAGAAAATGGTGGGGGAGGGAGGGAGTTGGTGCATTGATGCAGGGGAGAGGCGAAGGGTAGAGCCAAGTCCATGGTAGTGTAGAGCGAAAGAGGTGTAGGGCAACTGAGGCAGAGTTGGGGAACAAGAGGAGCGAGTATGGAACATCGAGCACGGAGTGAAGCGGTGGAAGTAGTGCGTTGGGATGGATTTGTGGACGATATGCCGGATCTTTTGCTTGATGACGGCAGAGGGCAGCGGCTTCGAGGGAGTGATGACCAGGTATTTATCTTCCCAAAAAGTAACATCGCGGGAGTAGACGAGTTCATGGGAGTGAAGGTTGAGGAGTTTGTACCCCTTGCGGTCATCTGGGAGTCTGACGAACATGGCCCAGAGGAACTTCGGGAGGTCACCGGCAAGTATGAGAGCGCGAGCTTTCATCACTATGATGCCGATGTGACGTTCAGCGACTGCATTTTGAGATGGAGAGTAGGCGTTGCTGAATGTAGTTTTTGTGTGATACTTGGCGAGCACGAGGCGACCAAGCTTTTCGAATTCCTTCGCGTTATCCGCTTGGAGGTTGCCGATGTCAGATGGTGCCGCGTAGCGAATGATGTCGATACCATGTTTGAAGATAGACGTAGCATACAGACGGAATCGTTCGTAGACTAAGTAAAGGTCTTGTCGTTAAAAATGACAAAGTAGGAAGAGCCTCCAATGGACTGAACAGGGCATGGACCCCATATGTCGGAGTGCACGAGAGTGAGGTAGGTGTTGGCGCGGAAGACGGCCTGAGAGGAGAAGGGTTTTCGAAGCGACTTCGCGTACTCACAGACGTCGCAGTCGAGAGGTTTGAAGTTCCGTGTGCGATAGCCGGAGAGTTCGGGGTGGTCGGCAACGAGAGAGTGGAAGAGCGCAACACTGGGGAGGCCAAGGCGTTCGTGCCATCGTCGAAGAAGGGCATCGTTGGGCAGACGAGAGTCGCCAACTTGGGTAAAGGCGCACTCGGGAAGGATGGAAAGAGTGGCATCGAGGAGATGGGTAGTTGATGGAGAGCCGAGGATTTTTGTAAGTAGGGAGCAGTAGAAGGAGGGTGGTGGTGGAGAAGATGAGGCGGGAGTGATGAGGGGATCAAGTTGGGAGTAGGATGCGTTGGTAGACGAAAACAGAAGAGAAGACGGAAGCAGAAATATTGGAGCGTAGCATAATACGCCAGGATAAAGAATGATGTGCAATTGATCCATTACAAGCGTGGACGGCGTGAGTGAAGTTGGGAACGCATTGAGGGCTTGGTGGTGAGAAGGGAAATGAACAGACGACGGGAAGGCTGTGCTGTGTAGAGACGGTGGGTGGGATGGTAGTGGTGAAATGACTGGGTTCGCCACCAGGAAGGCTTTGAAACCGTCAAACATGACCTGGGTTGTGAGAGTGTCACGAGGTGGGAGAGGGGAACCAGGGGGTACTCCAGTGGCCGAGATGGAGTAGAGCCCCAAGATGTTCACAGCGGCACGAAAGTAGTAGGTTTTGTCAAGGATGAACAGGCAGTGCTCAGGAAGGTCGAATTTCACCTGATATCCGGAGGAGGCTGCGTGGCGCACGGGGAGGAAGTTGAACTTGAGGTTAGGACAGTAGTGGCCAAAGGGCAAGGAGAGGAAGTGTGGTTCGGTCTGATGGTCGGAACCCTTGGTGATTTTGCGCGATAAAACGGTCAAGTCCACAGGGCTGTAACCGAGAATGGGATGTTGACCACCATCCCCAACGGAAAGGGTCATAGAGCACGAGCGGAACTTGGACAGGCGGAAGTAGGACTTGTGACGCGTGTAAGAGGCAGTGGCACCCGAGTCGATGATCCAGTCTTGAGAGAGTTGAGGACAAGAGTCAGACTTGTAGACGGTAGGAGCTGACGATTCATCGTAAGAGACTTTGAGACTGAAAGACGAGTCAACAATACCGACGTGGAAGATGAAGTGATCGTGAGTCAGGACAAGTCCAGCTCGCCATGTGTCAACTGGGTTGGCCACAGGAAGTGCGTTGGGGTCAAAAAATTCTTCCGCTGTGTCCTGTGACGAAGTGCGAGTATTGTCTTGAGCCCAGGATGCACGGGGTGCGCGGATGCGGTAGTGAGACTTGGGTGGTTTGATGGGGGTGATGTGGTAGTATTGGACTTGTCGTAGACGTATTGGCGGAAAGCCTTGGCGACTAACGGCTGCATGTGTTGGACAGTAGGGTGATAGAAGGAGCCCTCACTTTCTTCGAAAGCTCGGTCTTCGTCGGAGATGTCCGAGAATAACTGGGCTTAGACGGAATGGATTTGGAATGTGCCTTGGTTGAAGAGTTGATGTGGATGGTGGGTGTGTTCGCTGAGTGAGGATGAGGAGAACAACGCGTGGAGGAAGACTGCGGCAGATAGTGAGACGGAGTAGAGTTGGTAGGCAGCTTGGTTGAGGAAGCATTGTTGTCGTAGATGGCAAGGGCAGTGAATGTGACGCGGTTGTGACGGCAGTGTTGGAGGTGTGATTTGGTGAGGCCCAAGTAGCATTGGATGGTAGAAGTTGTTTTAACGAGGGGGGGTTGATGCGGGATTGACCAGGAGAATGCATGGAGTGAGGAAGCCGAGATAAAGCGGGGGCAGGGGATGGAAGGAGAGCAGGGGATGGATGCAAGTGCGACGGAGCAGGAGAAGGTGGAGACAGAACTTGGTTGGAGACCGAGATGATGGCACGTGATGCATGGCCATCCGCGGAGGCACGGCGCCCGCTGTTATCACGAGTACTTCGATTATTGGCGTCTTGGTTGCGCCGAGATTGATCGGTCGTTGATGTACGGGCCGGCTGATTGCGGTCTCGCGATGGATAAAGGGGGCGTTTGGGTGAGCGACCACGACCGCGGTCGTTGTTAGTCGGAGTAGACGGGGCAGAAGACGGCTAAGCAGGAGCAGCAAGATGTTGGAGACGGGTAGTGGAATCGGCAGAACCATGTTCGTCAAGCATTTGATGATGCTTGAGGTCCACCTGAATGATTTCTATGATGGTGCGCTGGAGATCTGCGAGTGAGCAGAGTTTGCCAACGTTCTTGGCCTGCATTTGCATCCTGCACAGAGACTTCCAGATGGTGGATTCTTCGACGAAAGCATTGCAAAGGTAGATCGAGTGGAAATACTTCCAATAGAAGTCATGAACTTGCTGAGGGGTCATCGATGCGATGTCGGGGGGGATCAAGGCATGTTGACACTGTTTCACGAAGCTGGCCAGTGTGGCAAAAAGAGCGTGAGCACCAAGACTGGAGGAGTACCCAGCTGGTTGATATTCGCGATCAAGGTCGTCGGATCGTTCACGCTGTTGTCGACTTCGTGATGTTTAAGAATGTCAGTCCAAAGACGGAGACTAAGAGGTGTAAGAGTCCCACGCAGTGCGGACAGACGGAGCAAAAGACGATAGCAGATACTGTACGGCGTTTGCCCGAGCCATCGAGAGCTTCTCCCCCAGAATTTCAGTCGTCGCGTTGCGCAGTGTGTCGTTTTCGGCCTTGGTCACGATCGCATTTCTCGCGGCAAGTCCAGCGTCTTCGTTGTTGTTGAGCGAGGAGGTGTCAGGGTTCATCATCCGATTGTAGTCCAGGACATGAAACACACATATCACTATAAAGAAATAAAGGTCCTTGATTCCTTCAAATCATGGTGTACAGTACCATCACCGAGGGAATATATGCATCATTATTCGAGTTATCACGTGCGAGTCAACCAGGAACTGAATCTTCCACTTCGGAATCAAGCGGCGTATACATGCACGCGACAGTTACATATTATTATTCGCTTGAACCTCTTTATGCTGATATTTGTATTAAGTATGCGTATTTTTATTCATCCCCATAATTATTTACGTTTTGCCCAACGATTTATACATCCTGCAGATTGTACATGCGTACATGCGGGAAAGGCGCGATGTAGGTCAGCGATTTATCGATACATATGGCACAACGGGACACGACACTCTCTATTCCTCATAACAACAACCAATACTATTAAGACCACTTCGTTGCATGTCGCATCACCAACGCGTCCATGCCCGCGGGATGCGGTGAGAAAGACACGTTGGGGTACAACGTCGACTCCGAAAGCGGAAGTTCAGGCTCCCCCGTCTTGAGTCCAGACGACGACAAGGTCGTAGCGTTGCACAACTGCGGTGGCTGCGAACTCGTTGGTCAAAACACAGGCATCAAGATGCCGAATATCGTCGCCCTATTGAAGTCCAAGAACCTGTTGCCCAAGGATGCAGTGGCCGATGATCTCTGTTAAGTGACTACTGTACTGTTGTTGTTGTTCACACCGAGTGTTCAGAGTTTTTTTCACTTACAGTTGTTAACAGTAAATACAACAAAAAACTCGTATCCTATTGAACAGGCCCTTAGATATTTTTAGCAAAATGAAAAATTGGTTCCAAGTACGTTTTTACCTCTTTTTGTGCGATTTTTTACGCAACTCACTATACCAAAAGTAAAAAAAGAGGTCCTTGACGTCTTTTTCTAAATCGTGAAAAAAAAGAGAGGTAAATCGATTTTGATTGGCATATGCTATTTCTGAAAACTACTTGGAACTAAGGGAAAGTTCCAAGTAGTTTTCAGCGTAGAGTTCCAATTTAATACTGGTAAACATATTTTGGAGTCGCTGCCTGCAGCTCGGCACTGAGGAATGGGTTTCGACTTCTGAAAACTGATAACTCAACAGGAAACACAGATCTTTCCAGACGCTTTGAAACATCGATTTTCACAGGGAGATGCGGGAACTGGCGAAAACTCATCATAGCACGAAGTTATGGAAGGCCAAAATGGAGGCATTTCTGGTTGGCGAAAGGAATATCTGGAGTTTCTTTGTAGTCATCCAACTTGTTGGAGAGGGACAGTAGCTGCTGTACTGACACGATGTCTACCGCTCACTGCAAGTGCGGTGTCTTGCTTTCAGAAATGCGCATCGTTTCACTTTGAAAACAGAGCACTTCCGGATATTTCATTATTTTTGGGGATGCAATATTTTTATTGCTCATGCGCATTTTTGTGGTACGTGTACTCGGACGACATGGAGATGGGGGAACAGGACAATCATGGTGTATCATTGTCGAGGGAATACATGCAACTTTATTCAAGTTGCCACGTGCGAGTAAACAAGGAACTGAATCTGCCACTTACACGGAGACAAACCGCGTGTAATGCGCGCGACAGTTACATATTAATAGAGAGGTTTAGCAACTCGTTCCATTCCGCATCATATGGTGACAAAAGCAGAGTCTACCATTAAACATACAGTGTAGTTATGGAAACTGT